TAAAGAAGGTTCTTGCTCAACGTAAAACAAATGTATAACAAATGTTAAAACTGACTTGTTGTACGCTACCAAGTTCCGATGTTCCGAATCCAAAAACTTTTTGTAGAACACCGACAAATCATTGGCAGACATACGTTCCAAAGGTCCCAATTCTTTTTTCTTCTGAAAAAAAATCAGTTCCTTTAATTTGAAAAAGAAGAAGAACCAATGTGATCGAATGTTAAAAGCCTAGCAAAAACAAGAAATCTTCCTTGAAATGATCTAATGCACCTTTTCAATAAATTCTGCTTTCTTCAAATCAAACAAGCTGTTGTGCTTAGCCCAAAACGACGAACTCCACCTGCAATAAGTTAAGATCACCCCATACCCATAAATTTAACAGCGTTGCACCTGTTCAGTTCCTCTCGTGCTTCTCGATACTCGCGTTCCAATTTCGTTTCATTGTCAACTCTGCGCAGTCTAAAAATTCTTTCTTCGTAGATACTTAGTTCCAAACTAATAAATTTTTACTTGATAGGTCGAATCTTTGAAACTGGATGGGGCGGGCCAACCCAATCATAGCGACGATCCATTCGAACTTTATCATCAGGAAGTATAGTCATCCTGTTCAAGGTGATACCAATAATTTTGCAACAAAAAGAAGCGTTTATAAGCTCTCAGTTTTTCTAGAAAATTCTTCTCTATGTCTACAAAGAAAAGTGAACATAGGATTTTTTCCGTGAAAAGATTGGCAACACATACTATGAATAACTGCAATACTTTCTCAATTCAAAGTTAAGTAGATGTGTAAAAAACTATAGAAAGCACCTCTGGAAGACCAGCGACAGGTAAAAAAAGTGCACATTACACAATTCTTTTACCATACTTATAACAACAAAAAAATCAACAAAGAACAACGGCTATGACGCCAATAGAGGATAAGCCATAACATTCAAGGAATGCTGGTATGAATTACTTATAATAGAATATCTGAAAGGTGGATATGTAGAAACAACTAAACAACGCTTCTTGATGGCGCGAATTTTTTGCCAACCCTCACAATGCATCCTCCTCATCAATTGATCTCCTTAACAAAGAGAACATGCGCTGATATTCTGCCATATTGTGACTGAAACGGCCGGATTAGTTGTTTATTCGCAAAAAGAGTATTTTATTGAACTTACATTACTAGAAGTATGGGACCCAGCAGCTCTTTCGTGTTCGTCAAATGCCGCAAATACATCCTTGTGTAATTCTTGCAAGTATAACAGCCGCATGAATCAAACAAATTAT